GACGAAGACATAGGACGGTAGACGACGAAGACGACGAGTTCAAATGTGACTGCGGCTTCGAATGCGAGGACCGTGTTCATGTAGTCGCGGAATGTCCGCGGTACAAGAAGGAGAGGGAAGTGTACGTGACTGAGCTGGGAAAAATAGATGGGACGTACAGGGAGATGTTTGAGGCATGGGATGGAGAGGAAAGGACGGTAGCTGAACTGGGGCATAGGAGGTGGATTGAAAAGGCGGGAAGGGATATCGTTAGGATAGACAGACTAGGGAAGACATTTTTTAGCCACCTTTGGCAAAGTAGAATGGAACGATTGGTCATCGGTGATCAGTCCTGTGGGAACAATACTTCGTCTTCTCGAGGACGCGTGGTCAATGGTCTAACCGCGAAGGCATGCAAAACATAAGAGTACCCCCCCCCCCCCACGACCTTCCACCAAACGGATGCCCTCCAAGTACCCCCCCCGATGCTCCACCGAATGAATGCCCCGCGGATGCGCCCCCATTCCACTTACGTTCTCAGGCCCCCGTCGTCTGGGTCATCAGAGTCACCCCCTGGTCCCGGAGGCGAAGGAATCTTGTCCAAAGGGGAGCTGGGGAACTCCGGCAACGGCGCACTCGGGAACTCCAGCCTTGAACAAAAGAAAAAACATGAAATGACATCAGCACCAGACGGCGCGTACTAAGCCGACAGTGAACCGCTTCGAAGGGTACGACGAACGCATGTGGGTGTATGAAGCAAACCGCAAGCGAAAGGCTAGGGGGAAGAGCGGAGAATAAATCAATGAAAACGGTCAAGAAGGGAGGAGATCTACGCCCAGAAGCATTCACATCCGGCCTGGACACATGCAGAGGCATGTCCAAGTGACGGCCAATCTTTTTTCTCCGTTTCTCAGGCCCATGCAAGTACCCTCGTGCAGTGGCAGTCCACGGTACGGCTCCACTAACGATGGGCGAGAGAATGGGAGAACCAAAGAAAAAGACTCACTTGGGAACGTCGCCGATGATCGGCGACCCGACAGCGAGCAGCCTTTTCATCCTCTTCGCCGCCGACCCTTCCCCGCCCCCATCCCCGCCGTCGAGATCCGAGCCAGCAGAAAGCCTCCTCTTTAGGAGCTCCGACCTTTTCACCCCTCCCCCGCCGCCGACTCCATCCTTCGCGTCGTCGTCTCCGGAATCATCGGACGAGTCTCCGGCCTCTTGCTTGGCCTTGCTGCCGCCGCCGCCGCCGCCGCCGCCGCCACCGTCCTCGGCCTTTACCCTTCGGGGCTTCTTGCTGCCACTGCCGCTGGTGTTACTTCCACCGCCGCCGCCGCTGCTGCTACCGGTCTTGCTACCACCCTTGCTCTTGGAGCCTCCCTCGAGCATCTGAGCACGTCGGGAAAATCAAGCACGCGCGCGCATGAAGGCGGTGGTCGTCGTATCGGAGTTGGGGGTAGAGGCACCTTTGGGCGAAATCCTGGCAAGCACCAAGTGTCCGATACCGGCACCGTAGCCTTCGACAGCCATGAAGAAAAAAAATGTCTCTTCTAGGAGGGATGAACGCTTCGGAAATCACAGGTATTCACAGGTACGGGTTTCAAAACCTCGACTGTTGGCGTGACAAACTGCGGTTATTGATTGCGCACCCCGATCGTGCGTTTGATATTTCCAACAACTGCTCCGGTTTTCCGTCCCATTAGCGAGCAAGGTCATCACCTTACAAACACGACCACCTGATCCTTGGAAGTCAACTTCGCACTACACCGACACCACAGCACTCAACAACAACAACAAACACGAACGGACATTTTTTCTGAATTCATACAATCTTCCCCCCAGGAACACTGCACCGCACCTGCTTGGCAGCTTCGGCCTTAACCTTGTCGATCTTCTGGAGCGCGCCGTCCTTGTACACGATCTCGTTGCCCTCGTCCTCCTGCCTCAGGTGGCCCGCGTACGACTCGTCTCGGATGCGTTTCCGCTCCTCCTTCAGGTGGGAGGAAGCCAGCTCGTCCGTGGACATGCCGCAGAGCGTCTTCATGCTCGTACCGCCCGACAGCAGATCCTGCCAGGGTTGTTGGTTTGTTCGTGAGGTTTTGGGCACGACAAAGTGGTTACTTTCGACCTGTGTTTCTTGAAATGAAAATGGCAAGCACAGGCGGGCTCTTGCTTGGCGGAGGGGGTCCGGTGACGGCTGTGCTCGTTTTCTTTCAGGTATTCGTCGGCTCGGCGCTCTTCTTGTAGGTTGGGGCGCCTGCACAGCCTGGAGTAAGACGGGACCGTCAACACACGTTAAGGTGCTCTCAGCACCAGGTCCGCGCTACGTATGTACCTACGTGATCAACCGTTCTCCTCATGTCTGAGGCTCTGAACGGGTTGAGCACATCAGTGATCGTTCTCCGAAGGGCTGATTGCACTGGTTTTCTTTGGTGTGGACACACCGTTCGCAATTTTGAGAAAAAAAAAAAGCATGCACAAAACGTTTCCACTCTCGCGACACGTTCTACTCTTTCCACCACATGCACCAACCTTACTCATCTCTGGCGCACGCACCTTGAATAACTCGGGGTTCTTGGCGAACTTGATGTTGAAGCGGAGCGACTGCGCCTTCTCCTTGTAGACCCCCCGGTTTGTGCGCGAAAAGGCGTTCAGCTCGTGCTCAAGGTCCCAGGCCAGCATTCCGCAGAGCACGGCGGCGTCGGCCGCGTCTACCCCCAGCTCCGCCATCCCCTCCGCGAACAGCTCCCGGAACAGGTCCATGACCTTGTGCCGGAACTTCTGCCCGGCAGTCTGCACGCTCCGGGCCCGCACGGCCTCCAGCCCCTTGGCGAAGGCCTGCTCGTCTTCCACGGTCCACTCGGGGGCTGCGGCAGCAGCAGCAGCAGCAGCAGCGGTGGCCTTCTTCTGCTCACCCTTCGCTGTGCAACCTCCTGACGAGGACTCGCCATCCGCAGCCGTCGCAACGGCCTCCCCTCCGACGCCCCCCGCACCAACGCCTTCCCCTCCGTTCGCCCCTGCCCCGGCCGCCGCGCCGCCGCCGCCCCCATTAGCCGCCGCCGCGGCGGCTGCCTTCGAAGGAGAGGAGCGGCGGCTCGCCGCTTGCTGCTGCTTCTGGTGGTAGGCCACGAGGGCCTGGACAGCCTGCCTCTGCGCCGAGACCACGCAGTCGTCGGAGCAAAAGGCAACGTCCCTGCCGACCGGCTTGTCGCACCCGGCCGTGAGGCACCGTGTCCGCTTCAACCCGGCGCCCCCGATTGCGGGCGCACCGGGCGCGACCCGGGGAGCGAGCACCGGTGCCCGGACGACCGGCGCGGGCGGCGGCGGCGGCAGCGCCGCCGTCCCCAGCATGCGGTCGAGGAGCGAGGACGCGCTCTCTGCCGCGGGCGAGCGTGGCCCCGGTCCGGCCCCCGGTCCGGCCGCCGCCGCCGCCGCCGCCTTCGCCGCGAGGGCGGCGTCCCGCACCGCGGCCGCCGCCGCCGCCGTCCGGGCGTTGTGCGGCGACCCCGGCCGCTCCCCGTCGGGGCCGCAGTCCACCTTCGCGACCCATTCGACGAAGCCGTCGGGCATCACCCACGGCCGGGAAGGCGGGTCCGTCCAGTCGTGATCCTCCCAGTGCCGCCGATCCACGCGGCACTTTATCGCAGATACCCGGCCCTTCTTGCACGCCGAGCATGCCTTCAGGTTGAACGGGGAGGTCCTCTGGTTCCTCGAGCCACGCGTGGTGGGGGCCGCGCTGTTGGTGAACAGGGGGGGGGGCACCGCGCGCGCCACGCTGGCGGTCTGCAGCCCGGCCGCCCTGGCGCTGATCGTCCCGCCGTTGCGCGGGGCAGCGCCGCCGCCGCCGCTGGTACCGGCGGGGATGGCCCCCGAATGCCTGTGCTGCTCCCTTGCAGGAGGGTACACTGCTGGTGCTGGTGCTGGCGGCGGTGCTTCCGTAGTCGTTGTCGCGCCCACGACGTCGATGACCGCCATGGCCGAGTCGAGATCGCTGCTGCTGGCCCACCCGACGTCGTTCATGTCTATCGCCCCGGCCATCCCCTCGGCGTCGTCCTCGTCGTCCACGATGCCGTTCGCGACGCCCCCGAAGGAGCCGACGCTGCTCCCGAGGTGATGCGCCAGCTCCGGGTGCTCCGGCGCCTTCAGGCTCAGCTCGTGGGCGAGGGTGGCCCGCAGGCCCCCGCCCAACCCGGCACCGTCGACGGCGTAAGGCAGCTGCCGGTTCGCCTGCAGCTCCTGCACGAGCCGCGCGGAGGAAGCCCGGTTGAGCCCGCCGCCCCCGCCCCCGCCGCCGGGGGATACAAGCGCCGTCGCCCCCGCCACCCACTGGCGGCAGGCGTCGACCCCTCGAGTAACCGCCTCGACTGTGGACAGGGCGGTGAGGGGTCCGTCGCCCAGGCGCAGGGAGAGCGGGGCGGGAGGCGAGGCCGCCGATAGGGGGACGACCCCCGCCGGCGGTGCGATGCCGACGGCGGACAGCAGGGTGGCCACCCCGGTGCCCCCGAGGAGGAGAGTCCTCCCTCGCTCGGCTAGCGGCTCCATGTCCGTGAAGGCCGGCCTGCTCTCGTTGAAGCTCATGGCACCTGAAGAAGCAAGCCAGATGGGGGGGGAGAGCCACCGCACGATTTGTTAAGCAAGATGCGGTATCTCTAAAGGTCACTTGACGTGCGGAGTGTACGTCGACAACGGGCTGCCACAAGACAGGAGTGAATCTATTCGAAAGGGCAAGGCGTCTCAAGGGCTCACCCACCCGACCGGCAGCGGCGGCGGATCAAACACCTTCTACCTGGTGCGCTGGTTGGCGTCCAGAGCGCCCCCAACTCCCAAACGACGGGCTGTGCTCAGCAGCGACTAGACTGCTGTGTCGTTTTACCATTCTCGCTACACCCCCGCACGCCCAAATACCCGACAAACCCATCCCTTCCGGTGGAAGCGATTGGCCATAGGTGATCGGTCCTGTGAAAACAACGCTCCGTCCCCTCGAGGACGCGTGCTCAACGGATGAACAGCTATGGCATGCAAACCATGAGAGTATGCCGCCAACCAGCAAGCAGCCAAAACAAAACCCATTTCTCTCACCCCCTGTGGTGGCAGCGAGCATGACTTGAGCCGTCTCCCCGACAGCGATCGTCCACCTTAGGAGCGCCAGGTGGCTCGACCCCGGCGGCAGAGTCGGCGGCGCTTGTGCCAAGAGCGTCTTAGCGGGGGCAAGCCAGCCGCCACTATCTACGCCGCCGCCGGCCGCCTGCGGGTGGGTCTGGACATCAACGGAGGCGTGACAGGGGAGGGAGGGGGGAGTGGTTTCCACCGAAGTCCAGACAAGGATGGGGTACCGCCAAAGGTTGCCCCACCAGTGTGTTCGAGAGAACTAGGCAGACAAAAAAACACGGCCTGACAAAAGCACGACAGATTTGATTCCCTTCACACAAGTCTAATAGATAAAAGGAGTCTGTGAGTCTGTGCTTCAGAAAAAGAGGGGCAAAGAGGAGCGGGGAGAGGAGGAGGAAGATGAGGATTTGCTGCTGCTGTGCCAAAGGTACCCGATCGTTCTTCCGATACGTCACGGACTCTAGAAAACCCATGGCATCATCACCAGCGGGCAATTGGCTCGTAGAGCAAGACACAGATCGTTACTGACGTTAAACCTCGTGAGGCGATTGAAATATGACTTCGTGCAGAGAGCGAACACCCGCGGGTTGCAAAGACGAGCACGCATGGGCGGTGGTTGGCTGGCTGGCTGGCAGCAGAGTCGGGCCTCGTCGACTCATAATCACCTAGCAGATAGTAAGGGTGGCATGCTTCGTAGTATCGACTATAATACTGAGGCTGACAACACCGCAAAAGGACAACCCTCTCGACAGAACCTCGAATACCACGTGCCCCCTTTGAATCGGGGTCGGCTCTGTCAAGTCCAGGACAACCAAAAAAAAAAAAAACTCGAGACAAGTTCCAGAAAAACACCCGAGACAACAAGGCAGAAAAAAACAAGGACCTCTACCGCGGGCGAAAAAGAAAAAAACAAACGTGACGTGCGCATGACAAATGAGCGCGGCCGATCTCTCTCTTTCTGGCGAAACACCAAGACGCGGCTAAATCAAACTCACCACCGGCACCGTGAGGATGGCCAACACCTTTGGGTCCCACTGGCCATGGGCCTGAAGGGCTTCTCGGAGAAGTTTTTCCTCGGGGAACTGGTCGAGACCAGAGAAACGAAGGGCGGCAAGCGGTATGGCATTGGGGTCAAGGCAAGAAGGCTCCGGCACCTACGCATGATGTTCCGCAAGTACCTGGTTGGTTGCGCGTGCCGCGCACCTGTCGGGCACAGTAATAGCAGCTTTGGTCTGCTACGAGACGGGCATGCATACCCCCGATCCCCTTTCGCGGCCCAAGCAACGAGAGAGAAAGAGCCACGAAAGCAGCACGGTCGGAAAAAGACCATCGAGATCGTAACACCGCCACAACAGCAACAACAACAACAACAACAACAACAACAACAACAACAACAACAACAACAACAACAACAACAACAACAACAACAACAACAACAACAACAACAACAACAACAATGAGATCAACTGCAGAAACTACAGCATTGGTAATCACCCCCACTATCACCAACAACCAAGGCTCCCTTAGGGTCACCTTAGGGTCACCTCCTGTTTCTCCGACCACCATCACCATCACCTACCTGCATAGCCCGAACAACGTCGCGGGCAAGCAACGCCTGGACCGCCTTCGCGCTCCCGTCGGTCATCGCCACCGGCGCACCACCCCCTGCCCCCCCCCCCCCCCCCCCCCCCCCCCCCCCCCCCCCCCCCCCCCCNCGCACCCCCCCCTGCCCCCCCCCCGCCGCCCGCCCCGGCCAGCAACCCCTTGGCCTCCCTCAGCCAAGAGGAAGCCTCGCCGCGGAGCTCCTGCAGGCCGGCAAGGACGTCGGCCAAGACGGCCGCGCTCTGCCGCTGGTTCGCGGCCGCCGTCGCCGAAGCACCGTCGGCGGCGGGGTCGTCACCAACCGACAGCGCGTCGTCCCGGGGCTTGTAGGGCGCGGTCGCCGAGAAAGACGGTGGGGGCGGCGTCTGGACGAGGGTCTCAATGGAATCGAGGGTGGGAATGCGGCCGCCCGTCGGGAAGAGGACCCCTCCGGAGGCCACCAGCCAGCGACCTGCCTCGATCCTACGGCGGAAGGGCGAAAGCAGAGCAGCACCAGAGGGGATGAAGAGCAGGGCAGAAGAACGCGGCCGTCGGTGTCGTTGGTAAATAGCATCGACAGACCGCGCTAACCGGCTGACCACTGAAATGACGCCAGTCTCAGTGCGGTTGAAAACAGAAAATTCTCTCAAGGCCAAGGGCCCGTGTGTGCATGTGTGGAAGCCTGTGGTGCTAAAATAATAAACTGCGGCCACCGGTTGACACGCTGAAACGACGTCAGAGGCTTGTGAGTGAAAAGAGAGAGAGAGGATGCCCAGAGCACAGTTCGTCCGCTGGAGGGGGGAGGGGGTACTCTTATTTTTTGCATGCCATAGCGGTTAGACCATTGACCACGCGTCCTCGAGATGGAGCATTGATCCCACAGGACCGATCACCGATGGCCAATCGTTCCTTTCTACTTTGCCAAAGGTGGCTCAAAAATGTCTTCCCTAGTCTGTCTATCCTAACGATATCCCTTCCCGCCTTTTCAACCCACCTCCTATGCCCCACTACAGCTACCGTCCTTTCCTCTCTATTCCATGCCTCAAACATCTCCCTGTACGTCCCATCTATTTTTCCCAGCTCAGTCACGTACACTTCTTCCCTCTCCTTGTACCGCGGACATTCCGCGACTACATGAACACGGTCCTCGCATTCGAAGCCGCA